CATAATAGAGAAGCCAGATGACCTTGCTGAGTTTAGCATCTCGGGGATGATATCGAATTGTTGAATTACAGTTGTAACCTAAAAAAACAGATTATTAATTACACAAAGAAATAGAATTCTTGATCTTAGAGCCATATATGGATCATTTACAAAGGTAACCAAGTAACTAAAAAGATGTGAGTTATGAACTTCTATATAAATGGTTCTAAATGAGAGGAAAGAAAATAATTAATTTTATGGATAAATAGGCATCAGAGGGAAAAGAAGGGGAGGAAATTGAGACAGGAACGCAATAGTAATAGATATAATGATCGGAATTTATAAATTCTGATTTGAAATATGGGATGAAAGGAACATAATCTCTTATGAATAAAGGAAATATTCAGTCAAAATTTATTTGAACAGACTTAAATATGATGTCATGGAAGAAACTAAGCAGATTTGATATAATTATTGAGTATTGACTGAGTGACAAGAGAAAAAATAAAGGAATTCTTGGGCTAATAATTCAGGATCTATTACTCTATTTATTATAGAAAATTTATTTAAATAGAAATAATTTGTTTCCCTGTTAGTGACAGGGTTTTAATTTAGAAGGATAATCTCAAATTATAGTGATTTTTTGATCATTTTTATTTGTCTAATATAGAATTGTTTTAAAATATAATTTATCTAATTAAATTTTATAATTTTTTTAGTCAATATGATAAGTCAGTCAATTATTTTTCATTTAATACTGAGATTCTAGAATAAGCATCAAAATGTGCATTAAGACATGATAAGTACTGCTCTTTCTGATCTGAAGCAGAGGATTTTGAATGAATATAAATGCTTATTATATTTTAGAATTGGTTTGCTTGATTTATTGTAAAATGAGAACTAAAAGATATTTATTAAACTAAGCTATGTATTACAAGCTATCCACAAAACTTTAAATTAGATGAAAAGATTGATTCAAACTGTTGAATTAAATATAATTTTACATCTTTGGTTAATGAGACATACTAGTTTGGCTCTATTATTACCCATTTAAAAATTGCGAATAAGTAGTAGATCAATAAAATGGCAAATCAGCTTTGAATGGAGGCTAGAAATTTCAAAGGCTTTGAATTATATTCTATTTGAGAAAAGCAATATGAGGTAAGCCCGCTCAATTCATAATTCATAACACGTGTTAGAAAAATTTAAGCTTACTGAAAACGATTTTCTATTCCCTTGAAAAAGGATAAATTACAACCTTCGACAAAATTAATGTCATGTTCTAAATTGGAAATAGAGTTTTATTTAATATTTTATTTAACAATAGATTCTAATGAAGTTTATTGCAGTAATGAACAGAAATAAAAAAATTGATCATAATTTCTATATTTTAAATTAAATATTTTTTTCTCCACTTTTGATTCATAACAAGTTTCTACGTTTAACATTTGCATTCGGATTTTCTAGATAGTTTCTGTTATATAATTTTCTAGCATACTTTTTCCAATTACATTTAAATTATTATTTTTCCAAATATATAATTAGAATGCGTACGGAGGTAAAAGTAAATCTAGTTCGATACACATTCG